TAAATATGTATATATAGTTTTCATTATCCATTCATCCCTTGATATGCACTTAGATTGTTTCCATATTTTGGCTATTGTGAATAATGCTGCAATGAACATGGAAGTATTGATATCTAGTCAACATGCTGATTTTAATTCCTTTGAATATACACCCAGAAGTAGAATTTCTGGGTCATATAGTAATTATATATTTTTTTATTTTTGAGAAACCTCCCTTCTGTTTTCCATAATGGCTGCATGTATTTACATTCGCACCAACATTTTACAAGTGTTCTCTTTTCTTCAAATCCTCACCAACACTTGTCTTTCATTTTTTTGGTAATAGCCATTCTAAGATGAGTCAGGAGAAATCTCATTTTAATTTGCATTTCCCTAATCAATGGTGATACTGAACACCTTTTAATATCCCTACTGGCCATTTGTATGTCTTCTTTGGAGAAATATCTGTCCAGGTCTTTTGACCATATTTTTTAACAGGGTTATTTGTTTTATTGTTATTGAGTTGAGTTCCTTGTATATTTTGTATATTAGCTCTTTATCAGACATACGATTTTCAAATGTTTTCTCTCAGTCTGTGAGTTGTCTCTCTTCCCTCTGTTAATTGTTTTCTTTGCTGTATAGAAGCTCTCTGGTTTGATGTAATCACATTTGTTGTATGTGTGTTTTTGGTCATATCTAAGAAATCATTGCCCAAACCAATGTCATGGATCAGCTTTGTCTTTTTATTAGCTGTTTAATCTCAGCCTCAGTTTCAAATTTAAGAAATGAAAAGCCTAACTGAAATGATCTCAAATATTTCTTACAACAATGAGGTTCTTTGATTCTACAAATGTGCTTTTTTATTAAAGAACATCTTCTCTTTTGGTAACTTGCATGAAGTGCTTAGGTATAATTTCACTCTTTTTAGCTGAAATATCATATTGAGTTTAGGTGCCTTAGACAACCACCCAATTGTTCGTTTAGATGTTGTAGTGACAGATTTCTGGTAAACTGTTTAATGTGGGGTTTTTTGTTACCCCATAAACACTCAGATCTTTAGACATTTTGATGATGAGCAAGTTTGACTCTGGGGATATAATTGAGTTTTCAGTGAGCACTGTCAAAATAAATGTCTAACCACACCCTTCAATAGATTAACTGTTAAATTTTCAACAGTATCTTTTAAGTTCTTAAGTAAATAAAACAGAAAAGTCTTAGCCCTTTATTTAAATAGCTTTAAGATTTCAAATAGCTTGCTTTATTTAATGAAAGCTTCAAAAACTTGAAATGACTAGTACTTATCCTTTATCATCTACCAAAATGTTATTTCTTCCAGCTTTAACACTCTCTGTAACTGAGATTAGAAGTTAAAGTGAGATAAAAACCAGTGAGTCAAAGCGAAGCTAAGTCATTAGAATAGTTTTTTTCTCCTTTCTGTCAACTGAACATGTAAATAATCACATGGAACCTAAGAGTATATAACCTGTATCACAGTGAATAATGAATGATTTAGTTCCAATTAAGAAGTTTCCTTTTAAAAAGAACACATTTAATGGCCCTCATGCATAAATTAAAGTTAGTTTGAAAACATGGTTTTGTTAAACAAATTTAAACTGCTTTTCCTTCACTTCTGAGGAGTTGCTGATATTGACTGTCCTTCCAGCTTTTAGAGCTTGCAACTTCCTCTTGATGTAGTCAGCCACGAAATCTGCATCTGATGGATTCAAGTTAGGATTTTGTTGTTGTTGTGCTTGGCCTTATAATTACCTAAGGTATATCTCTGGAAGTTTTCAGTATAAAATTCACAAGGTTTGAAGAACACATTCTATTTTGCCTATTATTTAAAAATAGCTTCAATTTTTTGCTCCTTATTATGACAGTTTAAATATTGTTTACAGAGCTATTTCTACTTGCTTTTCTATTACAGTTAACAATATATGGATCAGATATTTATTTTCTAAATATTACCTTTACAGAACAGTGCTTTTCAGAGCAATTCCACACGAAATATCTGTGTGCAATTGTAACCTTATGTACCATATGAAGTGTTGACTCATTTTATGAATTATTTATCATTTTATGCATATGCCTGAGCATAAGTCTAATGTTAAATAAAGACATAGCACTATTTTGATTTTTTTCAGATTTTTGATATGTATTATTGTTGCATATACTATGTTATGGAGAGTGTACATTAACTTGAATATTTGATTATATAATATTTTTATACATAAATGAAGATGTCTTTCATTTTGACATATGATTCCAATAGTTAGGTACACAGGAAGATATAAAGATCTGAACAGTGGACACAAATTTTAGTAATACCTAAGAGTACCTAACAGTACTTTACAGATTATTAACAATTTTTCCGTGTTTGACATCACATGATTACCATGAGAGCTATGAGATGTTAAGGAAGGTATATTTATAGCTATTTACGAATATAAAGACCATGGTTTGAAAGCATAGTGCATGCCCATCTTCATACAACTTGTAATGCTAGAGCAGCCTCTGAATTTCTCATCTCTTGTCATCCGGTGTAGTACGGTTTGTATATCATGCAATACATTTAGATTGGTTACACTCATCTGAAAATGCAAATCCTCTCTCATCTGTTTTTGCACATATAAGAATTACAACTCTTCCCAATCAGGTCAGATGTCATTTTTACTCTGGAATAGCCAATAGTGAAGCATTTAGAAATGGACACAAGTCGAGAAACAAAAAGAAAATTACTCAAATATTGTGTGTATATATGTGTATGTGTTATATATATTTATATACACACACACACACACACATACACATATATATAGTTCATAGACAATCGTTTTTGGATTAACAGAAATTAACCCTTCTGTTCTTAAAGCTTGAAACTTACATTTGTTTTATCTGAGTTCCTTCCTCAGGAAAGGATCCCCAGGCCTCTCAGAACATATCAAAGAACTGAAACCAGATTATTGCATCCAGACAATGAAATGCCAGGACGTTTCTTCATCATGATTGCTTCCTTATCCCACACTGAGCTCCTTTTATTCTCATACATAGTTACATTTCTTTCCTGCTATATAAACATCTAAGTTTTAGTCAGTCAGGGAGATGTATGTGAGATTGATCTCCCATTTCCTTGGCTGCAGGACCTGATTAAAGTCTTCTTCCTTGGCAATAGTCATTGTCTCAGTGATTGACTTCCTGTTTGGTGAGCAGCAGGATCTAGACAGAACCCCTGGTGTTTTGGTAACAGATATATACCAATTATTTATGAATACCTATAGCTTGAAGTAAATTCATGTGAGAAGAGATCTAATTTTTACCTAGTCAAGGAAGAGTCTCATCTGCTTTAACACATTTTCTGCCCTACCCAATGAAGAACAGAAAATGTGTTAAGGGAGATGATACTCTTTCTTGAGTCCTGGAACATAGTTCATTTCTAATTCTTTTGCCTCTTCTCCCTGCTGTCTTTTATTCTCTCTCTTCTCCCCTCTTCCCCCTCCCCTTACCTACACTTCCTTTCCCCTTCCCTATCTCTTCCATCCTCCCTTTCTTCCTTCCTTCCTCCAAATTTTGGAGTGCCTATACTGTTTTACAAATTATATTCACTTGCTGTTTCTCTTCTGTGAAGTTTGTAATTGTTTTTAGTTTCTTATCAGTCCAATTTATACTCTGTGTGTAATCCATTATTATTTCTACATTCATAGATGCTCCCATCTTTATCTACAAGCCAAAGGTTTCTTGAAGATTTAGACTCAGGTTTTGTCATTTGACCAGTAGGCGCTTTTGCTTGGATAGTTTTATAAATGACTCAAATTGTAAAGTCTAAAATAGTATTCAGTATTCTCTCTGTCTTTCTCTCTCTCTCTCTGTATTTTGTAACTTAATTATTCAGTTTGTCATCTGCCTTTCATTCAAGGAACCTCAGAGTTATTTTCTACCTATCTTATCCTTATATCTAGTCAGTATATGAATTTTTAAATACTATCTGAAGATTTTTCTTAAATGAAATTCTTTTTTATTTCTGCTACCTTAAGTCAACCTTAATAATTTCTCTGATATGTTTAACAGCTTCCTATTTTTTTGCTCAATTTCATTCTCCATATCATTGTCATAATTTATCTATAAATTCTCTATCACCTCTATCTTGCGACCATTACTATTTCAATCCACCGAATTAACATCACTTACTTCTATTTGTTTATAGCATATTGTATAAAAATCCTAGTCTTGTATATAAGTCTGTGTAAATCTAGTTTAAATCTAATTATCATGGCTCCTATATCTTTTGTTATTCCTGTTTACCTCTCTTCTTCAACAACTAGTGACTTTCCACCAAATTCACACATTTCAATGTCACTTTGGTTACCTTGTTTTTGTCATATTCTCCTCTAATTATCTTACTATACTTTCCTCCTATAAGATTCAATTCAAATACCAACTCTTACTGAAAACTTTTCCTAACTTCTCAGGATATAATTCAATATATAAGTGTATCTGTTTCCACACCATTCCATTCACAACTCTCTCATAGTACTTCTGCATTTTATTGTAATTCTCTTTGCCAAATTGATCTCCTAATATACTGAGAGCTCTCTGGAAGGAGGAACTGTGTATAATTGCTCTGTGAGGTTCTTGTTCATGGAGCATTGTAAAAGCTCCTAGATCATTTATTGAGTATGGTTTAGTGAAGAAATAGGAGGGCATGGAAAAGGCAAAAGAAGCTAACTTTTCTCTTTTGTTACCCACAGACCTCAGGTGAGGTGGGAAACTACCATAAATATGACTGAAAATATCTCTATCGCTACTTCCAGACTGTCCGTAGGATGGAGGCAATAAATAAATTTAAAAAATCAAAAAAAAAAAAAAAAAGGAAAAGGGCAATGTAGCTTAGTGGAAAGCATAAGAACCTGAAATTTATAAGACCTGGGCACTGGATCTACAATAGGGTTCAATAACCAATAGCATATTGTGTAAAAATCCTAGTCTTGTAAGGACACTTTGTGAAGTGGGCCCTATTTAATGCTAAATAGAAACTGACCTGGATTGCTCTGGTCTTAACTCAGATCAGGAAGGACTTTAATCGTTGAACAAATGAACCCTTAATAGCGGCTACACCATTTAGGATGTCCTGATCCAACATCGGGGTCGTAAACCCTATTGTTGATATGGACTCTAGAATAGGATTGCACTCTTATCCCTAGGGTCACTGATCCTGTTGATCGAATTATTGGGTCAATGTGTAATAACTCACACTAGTGCGATCTTAGTTTAAGTTGTTTCAGAGGTTGAATTACGTTCCAAGTTCACCTCAACCAAATTTGTGTGTGTGTGTGTCTGTGTGTGTGTGAGTCTCACTCTGTTGCCTAGGCTGGAGTACAGTGACACAATCTCGGCTCACTGCAAGCTCTGTCTCCCAGGTTCATGCCATTCTCCTGCCTCAGCCTCCCGAGTAGCTGGGACTACAGGTGCCCGCCACCACACCTGGCTAATTTTTTGTATTTTTTTAGTACAGATGGGGTTTCACTATGTTAGCCAGGATGGTCTCGATCTCCTGACCTCGTGATCCACCTGCCTCGGCCTCCCAAAGTGCTGAGATTACAGGCGTGAGCCACTGCGCCCGGCCACCCCAACCAAAATTTTTAATGCAGGGATGATACATTGGAGCCTGTTGGCTTGTTTGAATCTTTATTTGCCTTAATGAATTAAAGTTCCATAGGGTCTTCTTGTCTTACTTATTTATACATGCCTCTTAATAGGTAGTTCAATTTCACTGGTTGAAAGTAAGAGACAACTAAACCCCATTGTGGCCATTCATACAAGTCCCTATTTGATTATACTACCTTTGCAAGTTCAGGATACCATGACCCTTAAACATATGGAACTGAGCAGGCAGTGCCTCTAATACTAGCAATGCTAGGGGTGATGTTTTTGGTAAACAGACGGGGTGAAATTTGCCGAGTTTCTTTTACTTTTTGTAACCTTTCCTTAGAGCATGCCTGAGTTGGGTTAAAATAAAGATAATAAGATGTCTATTAATCATTTGTTAATATTAGGTTGTTAACTGTTAGTGAATTATTCCGGTCTAATGTAAGCTTATGCAATGGAGAATGTCTTAATGTTACTTATACTAACATTATTGCTTCTACTGAATAATAGATTAGTCCAATGTAATATGAGGAGTTCAACAGGGTGATTAGAAATGAAGGTAGTCAGATGTTGAGCTTAAACGCTTCCTTAATTGGTGGCTGCTTTTAGGCCGACTACGGTGGTAAAATCTGTTACTCTCTATAGGACGGTTATTGTCTAATATCTAAAGAGCTGTCCCTCTTTAACAGTTAAACTTACAGGCGGAATAAGTAATTCTGCGGGTAAGTTTAAAGTTGAACTACAATTCTATCTTGGACGATCAGCTATCACCAGCCTCGGTAGGCTTGTCACTGCTACTCATGGATCTTCTCACTATTTTGTTACATTAGATGAGTGTACTCTTCTAGCTGTTCTTGAGAAGCTCGTCTATTCGGGGGACTTGGCTAGAACTCTCTGTGTGAAGTTTTTTCTAGTTAATTCATTATTCAAAAGATGCAAGGGTTTGTCTTTGCTTTTTGGTGCTTGATATAGTTCTTTCATTGTTCCCTTACGGTACTATATCTACTGCACCAGAATAAGTAATTTCTATCTCCTATACTTTTGTCTAGGGTAAATGGTTTGATTTAAGTAGTTCTAATAATACTTTTTAGCAAGGTTTGGAGCTGGAGCTGGCTCAAAGCGATCAGGTTGTAATGAAATCTTCTGGGTGTAAGCCGAATACTTTGGGTTAAGCTACATTTTGGTTGATCCAGGCGCACTTTCCAGTACACTTACCATGTTATGACTTATCTCTTCTATACGTGTGTAGACAATTATTAGTAATAGTGATTTCTAGAGTACTACTTGAGGAGGGTGACGGGCATTGTGTGCGTGCCTTATGGCCTCATTCAATCATTCTATTCTTGATTTACTACTAAATCTTCCTTGAACCTTCAGATTTCATGAAGGTTATCATAAGATTTTTCTGGATGTAGAAAATGTAGCCCATTTCTTATCATCCCATGGGCTACAACTTGACCTAATGTTTTAATGTGCACACTTGTGCTTACTTTATGCTTTTTTTTTTGCTGAAGATGGTGGTATATAGGCTGAGTGACAAGAGATGGTGAGGTGTATTGGGGTTTATCGATTATAGAACAGGCTCCTCTAGAAGGATATAAAGCACTGCCAAGTCCTTTGAGTTTTAAGCTGCTGCATGTACTCTGGCGAAGAGTCTTGTTAATATAACCATTTGGGTTTGGGGCTAAGCAGAGTGGGGTTTCTAATCTCAGTTTGTGCCTTAGCTGTTGTGTCCTCAGGACATTAAAGTAACTTCCGTGGTATATTTTATTTCAGCTGGAGTTTTTTTTGCGATTTAGCTGGAGCTTAACTTTATTGAGTGCAGACCTGAAACACCCTTTATGCCGAGTTTTACTAGCTTGGGTTAATTGTGTGGCTGCGGTGGCTGGCACAAAATTTACCAGCCCTAAATATTAGTATAGTTTAGTAATACTTTCACTTATTGCTTAAAATGTATCACTGCTGTTTCCCGTGGGGGTGTGGTTGAGCAAAGTGTTTTGAGCTGTGTTTATACGTGCTTGATACCTGCTCCTTTTGACCCAGGTGATCTGGAGGGCATTCTTACTGGGGCGGGGATGCTTGCATGTGTAATTTTACTGAGAACTCATAAAAAGGCTAGGACCAAACTTCTATGTTTATGGGGTTGTGTGGACCCATCTACGCATTTTCAGTGCCTTGTTTAAAATAATTAAGCTACATTAACTGGATGAAAAACATTTGAGTGGTATTTTGAAATACTAGGGGGATGTCAGCATCTTGTTGGGTATAAATCTAAAGTGGTCGTTTACAGTCCTGGAAGTTTAGGGTCTTTAAAATTGTTGAATTAGCAGAGGTTTTGGCTGAGGGGCGACATGTAGTTGAAGTTATATTTGATTTAGGACTATAACATCTGGGATACACACTTTTCAGAGAGGGATACTTGAAATATTATATAAGTATTAGCACCGAAATTTAGTTAACATATAAATTGGAGATCTTATTTGGTTGGAGAATATCAGGATTTTTTTTAGAAAATTAAGTTAATCGAGGGGCTAGTGTTGGAGTGTTCATGGTTAAATTATGATTTTTTAGAGCTCAATTTAAGTATCTTGTTTTTGGGGGTCGGCAAGAGTACCTCTTACCTAATTTAACAATAAAGTCAGAGATGGGGTGAGGGCAGATTTTCGGATTTAATCGGAAGCAGCCCTTTAAATGGTGCGTGAACGTACGTGTGTGCGTGAAAGGACGTGTGCGTGAACGTACGTGTGTGCGTGAACGTCTATTGATTGTTACGCCCTTCAAGCATGAATGAATTAGCACATTATGGTTGGGTATGCTGGCTCAGAATATTCAAGATAAGTCCAGCTACAATCGATTCCACAGGGACCAGGCTCCCGCCATGGTAAGTAGCAGCATCCCAAAATTAAAATATACCAAATGCGTGACAGTGCTCCCATGACTAGTTCTTAGGGTGATAGTCACTAGTACATTGAGATACAAAGTTTGCAAATATTTTCCCCCAGTTTGTAGGTTGTCTCTCCACCCTCCACCCTCCTGTTTCCTTTGCTCTGTGCAAGCTTTATAGTTTTAAGTAATCCTGTTTATCTATTTTTGCCTTTTTTGCCTCTGCTTTTGCTGTACAAACTGAATCCTCAAAAACCTGATTATCATAGTTAAAAGATTTATTTTTATCATATTCCAAATAGTTTAAAATGCTTTTGCTGGTTTGTTTGACATAATGGCATCAGATATAACGTGGTATAATGTCATACTATTACTCTCTCACTTAAAAATCAAAATGTAAAAATATAATTTTTAAATATGGCAGAAACGTACATTAAAATACATTAAATGGTAAATAACAGACTGCTGTTAAGCCCACATATAATCATGCCTTCCTTTTATAATACTTTGATCATTATAAAGTGATTTTCTATCTCTTATTATATTTTATAATAACCTATGGGATAGCTGGAGTAGATATTATTTTCTCTGCCTTGCATGTGCCAAAAATGAGAGAAGGAGAGAAGTGGAGTTACTTTCCCTGTATTACAAAGACACAATGGTGCAGAGTTGAAACTTTACTCTTGTTTGAAATACTTTACAATTTTTCTAAAACATAGTGAGATCTCGGGACTGAGTGTTATACCCAGCCCTGTTTGAAAATTTCTCAGGATATTGGTTCATCTTTTATTAAAACGAACAAACAAAAAAAAGTAGGATCAAATTAAGAAAAGCAGAATGTTTTGGTAGGCTTAGATCTCAAAATAATTATCTCTAAGCCAATCAAGTGTTACATTATTTTTCTTGCTTTATTTTTAATTCTATTATTTTTGCTGTGTCTATATGGTGGTGTAATAACCTGAGAAAGATGGTTCTAATCACACATGTACTAATCACAACCATTCAACACAGTTTTAGAAGATTTAATCAGGACATAAATTTAAAAGTTATTAAAAGTATTCAACTTCTGTGTCTATACTTAAGACTCCATCTCTAGGTATCTGTTGATTATGCAAGTAGGATTAACAATAATTAACTTATCAACCTAATATTTAAGCAGTGCAAGCATTATTATTAGACTTTCTTAAATGGGCACTATAATATGTATCTTGATTGAGCTTACTTATTTCATGGAAGAATGGTATTCCTCAAATTATTTTAGAGATTTTTGATATTCAATCTCAGATGTTTAATGTGTTTTCCAAAATTATCAAATAAGGATGAGCAGTGGCATACTCTAATATTTACAGGAAAAATGTAAATAAAAACACTTGGATTTCTAGGTTCTTTAATAATCTCAATGCCAGGATGAATTCTCTAAGTCTGAAAAAATTGCCATTACTTGGTACTAAGATCAGTATCAATTCAACCATTATTTCTTAAAAAAAATAACTTAAATCAAAGTTGCGTTTGCCATTATGTGCAGTGGTTCACAACCCTGGTTATTCCTCTGTAGTTTTAAAAAATACTGATACCTGGATCCTTGGCCCAGTGATTCAGCATAAATTAGTCTCACATGTGGCTTTGTCATCAGGAGCTTAAACAGTTAACGTGCAGCTGAATTTGAGAACTACTGCTTTAGTCTTTTGAAATGAGGCCAGGTGTACATATAAGGCCTTACTGCGCAAAGCTTTAAATTTGGGGGACATTTTGGTCGTATAAAGCTGGTTAATACAGATGAAGTTTAAAGGGAACAGACTCTCACCTACCAGATATACTAATACTTTGCAGGAATCAAGATCATTGTGACATAATTAAAAAGAAGAGAAAAATAAACTTCCCGAATGTTGAATTTATAATTACATGTTCAGCCTTTCCCATATTATACTATCTTGATTGATGGTTAGAATAAAATTTCAAAGAATTTGAAACTTATCCTAGCATACAAAATTATATTTGTGTAATTTTCATGTTCAACGTATTTCAGTGAATTTAAATGATTAAAAATTAATTATCCATGGGTGATATATATGATTATTCCATTGCCAAGACTGTTGCATTAAGTAAGGCAGCCAGTTCCCAACGGATCTAGAAATCAATGTTGCAATCTGAAGAAGGCTTTCAAAGTCAACATTCTTAGGTACGTATATAATTTTTTAATAATCTGCATATTATTGCAATTCAGTTCTACAGAAGACCTTTCTTGTCACATCACCAGTCCAGTGACACTGGTAGAGTGTATCAAGGGAAATATGAATTGTCCTCTTAGGCTTCCAAACCAAATAATAGAGTGAATTGATTATATTTCAACCTTGAGTATGAAACACATTAACAATTATGATCCATAGTAAAAATCCTGTTTTTATACAGCATAATTTACTGAAACTCATTTAAAATTCACATAACATTTGATTGAATTGGAAGGTGTTTACAATTGTAAATTTTGCAACAGTGAAAGCGCCAAATGTGTTTGATTAATATCAACTTCCTGCAGCCACACCTGTATAATATTTACGTCTCTAAATTACTATTTGTGGTAGTTAGCAGTTTTTCCATTGCAATTAACCAACCTCTACCTTGAATATTGTCTGAGATAGCTTAACTTTTTATTTTTTTCTTAGTTGAAATGTTTTAATTATATTTTACTTTGTGGTTTTAGTTTTTCTTTTATCTTCTTGAAGTTTAACCTCAATAAAATTTTGAGTTGGTTCTTATTATGTGCATCAAAAAACTGTAAAATGTAATACAAATTATTATCACTCTATCTACATGGAAAAACATTGTTAACAAATCTGTGAATGACTTAATCATTTCAACAATTAAGACATATACACACACACACACACATACACATACATACATTTCTTCTAAAAAGAATGGTTAAAACTACCTATACAATGGAAACATTTTCACATAAATTTTCTCATTATTATTTGTGTTTATATTGTGCAAATTATATCAGTAGCTTGAATGACATGTATTTGACAAGAATAGAGAAAAGGTGGTTTCATATTCCAGACTCTTAAAACACACTTTTCATTTTAGGACACAGGCACTCTAAGGATATGACTGTAGTCCTCATGTCTGACATCTAATTGCTATGAGTTTCCTTCAATTAATACTAAATACATGTATAGAAATTGCCATAAACTGAGCTGTATGATGGTAATAATCCCCAAATGACAATTCAATCATCCGGATCTCTGGGTTGTCCTAATTCCATTATAACAGGTGGGTATAATGGTCTTTAGATCCCTAGATATGAGGTATCCCTGGAAAGGTGTTTTCTTAATCTTAGATAATAGTTTTCAATGCTTTGGTGAAAATTGTTTATGGAACTCTTCTATTTTAATCAGTCTTTGAAAATGCTCTTTCAATGGCTGATAAGGTAAGTCAGCACACAGTACTTCTACACTGTAAAAAAAAAAAAAGCTAAAACAGAAGTTAATCTTAATATATATTAGGTATTCAGTACCTCTTATTTCCAGATGTATACAATAAGTTCCTTTTATATCTTAGAGCTAAAACCAGAGAAAAAATTGTCTCTCTGCATAAACCATGCACTCTCTTTTGTTAGATAAAGAAAAAAGTGTAATTCATCTTTATCTTCTCTGATATATTGTGACTTTAAATTTTTATTTAAAAACTGAACTTACTGAATTTTTCTTGATACCTAAATTATACATGTTCAGTGTCTATAGCATAATAAACAACAGTAAAAATGGTTAAAAACACCGATAATCTCAGCAAACAGAAAATTAATTTTATTTTAGTGAAAATATTACCTAACATTTTAGTTTTCCTAAGTATCAAAACTGTCTTATCAGCATACACTTTCAAAAAGAAATTTTATTCTATCTTCTTTAATAACATACCAGTTTTTCCTTATAAGTATTTTGAACATATATTTGGGTCACTAAATGCTATTTTAAAAGCATGGATTTCATTTGTTAGTATTCCATAACTAGCAATTATACAGTTGGACATTTAGATTTATTTCAGTTTTCAATATTCACTTCTAAAGAAAGGTTACAATGAATATTTCTGTAGTTAAATCTAACCACACATGCAAGATTATTTCTTTAGAATACATTTTAGAAGTGGTATTACATTAAGGCATTTGACTTACACTTTTAAAATATCTTTAGAAAATGTTATTTTATTACAATGGTATGTTTTTGTATGCCTTGTATTATAATTTGTATCAAATATATTTTTATATGCATGGTATATATAAGAAATGCATATCTAATTAGATGAAGCAACAAATATATTACATAATTAAATAACAGTTTGACATAGTTTTAAGTGTATTTTTGAAAAATTACTATGCTAAATTCCTATTGTCAGCACCTAAACTAATTCTTAAAAAAGATCCAGAAAACAAAGGTCTCAAATTTCTAGATATTTTAGGTGTACATAAAGGTTTCCAAAAGATAACTTGATGTGGTAACTTGAGAAATATGGAATAAATATTTGGGCACCCCACAGGGAAGCCACACAAGGATAGTCTAGAACCTCTCAGTTAGTAATAAAGGGGCCCTGGTATCATTCATAGTCCTGTAGGGGAGAGGTAAATAATTTACTAAAATCCATAGACAGAGAAGCTTGTGAGGACAGGGCTGCCTGGCTGGATCTTTGACTTTTGGTTCAAGGAAGTAGTTAATGCCGGCATTCCTAGAAGCAGGAGGGAGCCAGGAATGTAACTACTTGCCACACCCTTGTCTCCTCCTCCAGTTCTTGCTCTTCTCCCTTCCTCCAGTCACTTGCTCCTGCTTTTTATTGGCTGAACCCCACTGACATCAGGCAGTAAGAGAGCCCTGTAAGTAATACATTGTACATTTCAGCCTCCTGGGTGCACAGAGCAGATTTGAGAAGAATAGAGATTGGACTTGCCAGGACAAATGAAAGATATCCAGTGCAATAAGAAATCTCCACAGATAACTTCCTCCTTTTATT